CCGGCGAGAGCCGAGCTGTGCCGAGTTGTGCCGAGCCCGTGGCAACACTACTGATTTCTGTCTCTCGGGGACTTGAAATTGGCTGTCCGACGTGGTCCGACTGTACAGTCCCGGACAACCAAAGACAACAAATTCGGTGACCAGATTTCCTGAGGTCCAGCAGCCGTGGGAACCCCAATTTTATTGCAGAAATGAGTGATTTAGACTCTAAAGAAGAGATTGGCACGAGCCGATTTCCCATAAACACCCTGTAGCCTTCAATAATGGGTCGGGATGGGCCAAAATTTTGGCCGTATACAAAACAAATCGGGAAAAATGCGGAAAATATGCCAATCGACTCCTTTCAACGAGCTGAGTCTGATTCCGGCTTAAATCTAATAATTGGACCAGCCGGTATGCCATAATAGCTCTCATAAGTGTGGGCCAAATATGGCAATCAAGGTAACATGTGCCATAAATTTGAACTTCCTTGCCAGTGGGCGGCCTCAGAAGGAGGTCCGAAGTCTTTGAAAGCCTAGATGCAGCTCCATGCAAGGGTTTACAGGTCCCCAAATGCTCCGGGCGTGACCTGGGAGGTCCGGTGACCGTGTAGAATGTCGTTGAAATGGCCCAAAATTTTGGCCATATCAAAAAGTCGTGGGAAAAATAAGGGGACCTCATTTTTGGACGTTTCCAGCCTCCCTGAGTCCAAATCTGAAGTCGGTTTCCCGCCAAAAAATCTCGTTCGGTCAGAAATCAATTTGTTGCCTTTGCTTGTCCGGGACTGTAAATGATTTTTAAAAAGTGGGCCCATCGATCTGCAACTGGCTGTACGATTTGGCGTACGCTGCCATTCAAGTTTGGCAAGGCCAGCGTGCACGTACACCGTGTCCCAGTAGAGGGAGACTTGTACGTATTCGGCTACCTTTGCACACTGTCACTATTCAATTTCACTCCAGCATCGCCACGTTCGTTGCCACACTCCCATCTGAGGGGGCAATTATTGATTGTCACCCAGCATAGTTCTGAGTTCTCATAAGGGAAGGCGGACTGTGTGACAGACGCCCGTTCTCCGAGCGCTATGTCCCGTTCGAGCGCACGTTCGTCGCGTCTTAGCTCAAGCCCGCACACTTTCCGCATCCGAATGTCGAACCTGCGCTCCAAAAGCACCTTCGGACCGAATAAACTAACACATCGAGACTCGCAGGCTCCATTGCATATCCCATGCCTATCCTTCTTATGTCGCCTATCGACCAATTACCAGTGATCAAGTCGCCCTCCAGATGAGAGGCTTCTATCTTCATATCTTCGGACGTAAGGGAGCCTTGGTGCCGTACGTCTATCGGCCGTGGACTACCTCGATTGGCCGCCCTGTCAACATCGACCTTGCCTATGGTCCTAAATCGATCGCAAACGTGCTATGGCTAACGGAGCTTCTCTCCTAACTGACCGGCGCGTTCGTATATAGGGGACAGCATGAGTCAAAGGCGGGCCTTTTGCTGCAGTTATCAACCCCAGGACCCAGCCTCTGGGCCTCCTGCGTCTGAGGCCGACCACACTCTGTTCACCTGTATACCTCCTCTGGATTATGAGCTTTTCATTCGACGATACCTCGAAGTTATTGCCTCAACAAATGGTCTTGGTTCCATCGTTTCTAGCCTTTGTCTCAGCGTATCATTTTCTCACCGGCACTAGAGAACTGACGGCGAAGCAGCGGTCATGGATTCTGACCACGCTTGCCAGTGCCATCGTGACGCTAGCGAGCTTTCCTTTCGTCTGGGACTATGTGCGGAACGACGGGGATATCAGCAGAGTCCGCCATTCGCCGGGCTTGGCGTACGCCACTACCCGCATATTCCAGGGATACCTCATTTCGTATGTTGAGCCATTGTTCAATTGCGACAGGGCGGCTTACGAGCTCAATCCTTAGTGATATATCTATGGGTCTCATCTACTACCGTGAGCAAGTGGGCTTGCTCACTGGATGGGTACACCACTCTTTGTATATTCTGGTCGTGGAGCTCGCGATCAGACGGTCATGGGCTCACATCTTCTGTCTCTGCGGAATAATGGAGGTAAGCTCAGGCCGACTACATATCCTGTCCGTCTCTCTTATCCTGTGGGATATCTAGTTACCGACCTTTGTCCTCTCAATCGCTTCACTCAACCCTGTATTCCGGTCCAATGTAACGTTCGCCTTGTCGTTCTTCGCCACCAGGATTCTCCTACACCTAGTCTTGATTGTCTCGTATCTCCTTCCGGGTAACCGCATGCGGGCGACGGGTGGCTCCTTTGTGCCTGCCGCCGTACTCGCTCTGGTTTTCCCCATGCACGCTGTGTGGTTTACGGGCTGCATTAAAGGTTTCATCAAGAGACAGCGCGCGAAGAAACAGCCTACGCCCTCCGCTACGGTGATACATCTTGAGGTATCCTCCGAGCGTCAGGCGGTCCCGGTCCCAACGCCCGCCATTGTTCCGATCCACGCCTCGGAGCCTCGCGCTGAGAATACGACGCCCTTGCAGGCGCTCCCTACCCAGCCTGCTCGGCCTACGTTGCCAGCCAAGCTTGTCCGGCGGCTGTCCTTCGAGAAGGCGCTCAGAAAGATGGAAATCGACAGGGCAAGGCAGCGGATACGGGAGGCACGCCGACTGTTATACGAGGTTCTCCCTCCACGGGAGAGGGTGTACGACTACTTTGGTTTAGGACGGGGCCAGCTCCGATATGATAGGGCGCCTGGTGTCGGGGGCGAAGAGCTGGGGCGGATGGTCGCTGTGTATTAAACTTGTATCCGTGAGCACGTCTTCTCTGTCTTCCAGTGCTGAGATGAGACTCATTGATCGTTCCAGTTCGATTACGAAATTTTATGACTAACGACTTCTGCTGGGTATCTTTCGGCGTTCGTGCCTTAGATTTGTGGGGATCATCCTAGAGGGATGGTAGTTTATGATGGTAGATGTATTTTAGTGGCTGCATGCGGAGAGACCCCTGTATCATGATCAACTACGGTGTGTTCAGAGCGGTATTAGTAACCTCATAATAGTGCTTCATGTCATTACGAAGGTGTGCCGGACCCGTGTCTCAATCTGCACGAGACAACACTCGCCATTGCAGGTATGGCCCTTGCATTCCACTGTGAAAACCCGAAGACGGTATCAAATTCAGCGAACTGTGCTATAGCTACATTAAATACGATGGTCTATATGAGTCTATATGAATAGTATGTATGCGTAGTCGTGAAGTGACGTCGTCTCTATGCCGTGATAGTTGTGTACGGTGAGTACTGGAGAAGTCGAAGCGGATCGTCCGTAGATTAAGCAAGATGAAAGCCCGATGAAATCAATTTGAAGCCCATGAAATTTAGACAGAGTAAGAAGGGTCGGCTTTCTCCATGGCAGCCTCGATCTCTTGCGCGATTTTGAGATCCTACAGGCGCGCGTTGAGCATGAGTGATGAGATGGAGGGAGGAGTCAGAGAAGCTACTCACGATGCAGGGCGCGAACTTGCTCTTGGAGCGGATCCGAGCTCCGTACTTGTAGAAAAGGAACGGACTTGGAGCGAGTGCCAGAGCGACGAAACCAATCAACGAGCCGGCCCAATTCACGCCAAGCTGAAAAAGCACCGTCAGGATAACTCCATGTTATCGAAAGTGAGTGAGACACGGACCTTCGTGAACATCTGAACCGTGAACAGTGGGAAGCCAGCCGCGACGGCGGAACGGATGAACGTGTTCGCAGCGAAAGCTGACGCGCTGTACATGAGGTACGTGTCTACGAGATAACTCTGAAGGACAGAGCCACACGTTAGCGATCGTGAAAGCATGCCCCACGCAGCATCAGAGACTCACCAAGAACGACATGAAAACGAGGTTGACGCTCAAGCCGATCAACACCGTGCTTAGCGCTGGAACGTACCACGGCACCGCGGGGTACTCGCCCGACCACCCGAGCCAGAAGGCCCCGACGACCAAGCATGGGCCGGCGAACATCGCACCGAACAGCCGCTGCTCAGGCGGGGGGAACCCGCGCCACTTGACGATGAGCTCGGGATAGTGGCGCGTGAAGTATAGGTTGCAGCCGGACCCGAGGATTGCACCAATGCCGACGCCGATGAAGACGAGTCCGTTCTGTGAGATCGTGAAGCCACGCTTTTCCATGAAGATGACGGGCAGCGCCTCGAATACTGCGGGACATCAGGATAGGACAAGTCAGAAACAGGGAGGATGACGTACAGCCATAGAGAACACCGTAGACAACGGCGAGATAGATGGTCACCAAGACCAGGATGGGCTCCATGAGCAGCATATGGAAGGGGCGCAGGAGTGTCCGGTTGAGGACTCCCATGATAGACCAATCTTGTCTCTCGTGTTCAGCATAGATCTCTTTGTTGTGCTCGGGATCCAATTTACGCAGCTGCTTGGCCTTCTTGGCCAGTAAGATCGGTGCGTAAGTCTCTGGCAGGAAGATGACGCCGACAGTAGTACAAGCGCCGGCGAAGATCATCATGAGCCAAAAGACCCATCTCCAGCCCAGATAGCTTTCGGAAACGCTGCAACCGACTTGCAATTAGCATTTACAGGGTAACTGACGAGATGCATGTCATACTTACAAAGAGGCGATGATTGGGCCCATGACTGGTCCCAGGAAGACACATGCACTGAACATACTTGTGGACAGCCCACGGCCAACGGGATCCCAGATGTCTGCAATGATACCTGTAATGAAGGGCGAGGTTAGACTATGTACTTTAAAAGGCATGCACCAGCACAAACCTCCACACGTCGTCATCGGCGCAACCGCAAAGAATCCGGCGAAGAAGCGGGTCACAAGCAGGGTCTCCAGGTTCTGCGCAAGAGCTTGCCCCAGGTGGAATAACGTGAAGGCGACCATGGTGCTGACGAAGATGGGTCGTCTGCCAAGGAGCTCGGATCCTGGCCCCCAAAAGAACGGCCCGAACACGTAGCCTAGTAAGAAGCACGTCGTGATGAGGTTGGCAACCTCCGTGCTTATGTGGAACTGTTCGGCGATGAGAAGCGTCGCAGATGTCGGCGCGGACGAAGCGAACGTCCTGTCACAAACATTTATTAGATATGTGAATCCCGTGTGCAGAAGTGCAGAAGATGCTTACACGCAAATGGTTAGGATTGAACAAATAACCGTGACAATCCACTTATACGGAACCGACCAGTTCTGCGGATTGGCTGGATCATCGGGACCGTCCCAGGTCACCATATTCGGATCGCTCTCCTCTGGCGGTGGAGGCGCATGATTGGGCGGCGGTGAAAGCGGATCGTCACCACCATACTTCTCCGTCCGCAACTCGTCCCTTAGAATTTCCTGCTCGAGAGCAGCCGAGAGAACTGGCGGGGCGGCGGGCGCGTTCATCTCGTGCAGGGTCGATGACGACGAACGCGGCGTTGACAAGATTGAGTGCTCCATTCTAATCTTACAACACGACCGTACCGAGGAGGGGGGACAAGAGGGTACGCATTGAGCGGAGCCCAGGCCTTTATATACTGGGGTTGCGAACGACACGCCCGTTGACACAAGGAAAAACTGTCATCGACCTGGGCGGAACTTGATAAAGTCTTTGAAAGCAGCTCGCGGCACGATGGCAACATACCCGCCTGGAATCAAATATCCGCTACCATTTAGCCGGGCCGGGGGAGCTGTGACGCAGAGATGCATTGCTGCAAGTCCAGCCATCCAATAAATTCAGGAAAAAAGGACAAGTTCGTATATGCAGTGGGTGTAGCGATAGTGTTTTTTTCGGGAGCCTGAGGGGGCCGGAAGCTGATTTTCGGAACGAATGAGGTTGAAAACAAGAAATCATGAAACACCATTTAGAGACACGATCGCCGTGATGCCGTGGGTGCCGGTTATGTCGTTACCCGGAGGCCGAGAACTTCCATGGCCGGTTATACAAGAGGACGCCGGTGGCTGTATACCTTCTTGATGAGTGGCATCCTGTGGCATCATTACATATCGATATTGAACGCAGTTCCGTCTTTCAGCTTACAGTGCTTTGCATAAAAGTCCGGAAACTGCGTTTCGCGCGTCTCTGTTTGTCCCAGCCAAACAATACCTTATAGGGTAACACCTGACCGAGGGCGCGACGGTCCTCGAGTCAGCCTATATCACTCCTGGGACACCAATGCCCGTCTCAAGGCTGAATAACGTTCATACCTGTATCTCTTCAGGATATCGAGCACGCAGAGGTCAAAATACCCCAAGAACGACCCTCATACATGGATGTCGAAGCGTCCCGCCAACCAGTCAACAGCCCGCGCTACCGTGATCAACTACCCCATATAGGTTTGTTTGGCTGGCACAAACAACATTTCGCGAATCGCGGTTTCCGGACTTTTTA